TAAGAATATTTCTGTTGGAAACAGTGGGCAGTTCAGCAGACTGTAAAGGCGTTACAGAATGAGGTAAACTATCTTCAAAATGCATGATCTCACTGACTTGCCTTACAATTTCATATCGATGCGCAATGTGGGAAAAGGTGGAGCGGCACATAAAATGTGTAATGAAACAAAGGTTGTCACTTAGTATATAGTAATACACACCAGAGAAGCCAGACAGCACTAAAGAGATTTGTTGCAGGGAAAGATCCACAAGTGATTCTTTGACATTCTGTGTGAATACATTTCTAGCATGGCACTGACAGCACATATTCACACCAAACCCTCACTGCTCCTCTGCGCCTATTAGCAATGATTTTTGGTCTTCCTATTTATAACCTTCAACACTTCTGCAGTTTTATTCAATGAAATGACAAAAGGGATGGCACAGAATGATTCTGAGTACAGTCAATTAACACGACTAGCCAGGCTCCACTTAAAGGACCAGTTGAACTTCCTTTTTTTTGGACTCTAATTAATTTAATACATTTTATCCTTTTAGATACAAACAAAAAGATAACATCAAGAAATGTATTTAAGACATATTTTTAGAAAGTTCAAATTTATTAGTTCATGGTAAAAAATGTTAAAAAAGACTTAAACAGAATAATTAATTTTCTTCTCTGGATTTTTACATTATGTTTAAAAGGCAAACCACAATTCCACTAGAGCCTCTCCTTTCACCGTAAGATAGTTCTTTTCGGTGAAATATTCTCTTGTGTTCACCAGCACTGCAATAAAAAAAGGTGAAACGTAAGTGATCAGGAAATGCAGACTCAATTAGGTGCCAGGACAGAACAAATCTACTGCAGTTGGGCCCTCTGGTGCCACATGGAAGCTACCGAAATCTAACATGCCCTCAAGAACTCCGCAGGAATCTGACATGTAAATAGCTTTTTCCTTTATTGTATGATAGGCATGTCCTTACCCCATGTCCCAAAGTGTAATGCCTGTTTCTTGTTATCCCCTCCAGAGACTGCAGTTTTGCCTTATGGTATGGGGGTCCAGAAAAATTCTCCTACTTTAAATTCAAGACATTTGTAGCTATAACAGTAGAGAGGCTCCCACCAAGCAGCAGGATAAATACATGAGCAGATCTTGCTGGCAGATGATGGAGGCTCAAGTGAGCCACGAGGCCTAAGCACTATCCAGTATTCACCATAGCTCCTGATAGTGGAGATGGGTGTTGCTGCATGCTAGTGCCAGGTCTTGGTCCTCAGGATTTCCCCATCAGGAGGTGAGACTTTGATCAAGTGCACCAAAGTTCTTCAAGGGCCCCAACAGTAGCCAGCATAAAGATCATATTAAAGTGGAGTTCTCGCTCCCGCCACCTCCCAAAAAAAAAAAAAAAAAAAATCAGCAACTACAAATACTGTGGCTGCTGACTTTTAATAGTTGGGGCACTTACCTGTCCATGTCCTCACCCTTCAATCAACTGTCTTGACTAAGGGAAACCGATAGTGAAGCCTTGCAGCTTCACCACTGGTTTCCTACTACACATGCAATAAACGTGCTGCACTTTGTGAATGGTCTGAAGTCCTCTGGGACCCTGGAAGTGTCCCAGAGGGCTGCGGAGGGGGGGTGCCGAACTTCCCCAAAAGGTGCCAAATGTGGCAGCGGAGGAGGGGGGAGGAGGCACAAAAGTGGAGCTTCCACTTTTGGGTTGAACTCTGCTTTAAAGACTGCCCCCCCCCCCGTTTATCATTCAGTATACACCTCCCCAACTAGCTTCTAAGTCTGTTTTGCCTCCATCACATTATGGTTGGCATCATTCCCAACACTTTAGACCTAGCACAGATGCCAACACTGCACGTGAGCGGTATAGCCTTCCCTGTTTGTTTGCTTGTTTGCTCATGGTTGCACTACTGATGGCGTTATTACTGTTTATGCTGGTTTGCAGGATAACATCTAATGGTACTAGATTTAGGTGGCACGCCTGCATATGGCAGGGTGGCTTCACAGTATTCTTACAATGTAGCGCACAGAACAGATTACAGTGGGAGAGCAAGCAAAGTCAATATTGCAGTGCCTGAGGTGGAAGTCTCTACCGCATCTGTGTTGGCTAATGTATGTACATTTCAGTAAAGGCACAGATGTATCACCAGGGGCGGACTGACAACTCATGGGGCCCCCGGGCAATAAGGGATCATGGGGTCCCTGTGTCCTTGCCCAAACTCAAAAAAGCCTATGAAAAAGGTACCAGGGGCATCTCATGGGGTCCTCTACTGATCACGGGCTCTCGGGCAGTGCCCGAGTTTCCAAATGGTCAATCCACCCCTGTGTAGCACTACCCCTGCAGGAGCTGCTGTAATCTAAATTTCAGCCTGTCTGACTCACCTAGTAGATGTAGGCCAATATAGATATAGACATATGTAGTACCATAAATCCCAGTGGAATGGTGCCTAAAATTCAGCGACAATGTTATCTCAGAGAAATGATAATTAACTGTTAATATCGTATCAATCCAATTTATGTTTTTCCGATTACCCATTGTCTTAGCTTACCATCTACTGAGTACTACTACTTATGTTCATTACCCTACTACTTACGAAGTAAAATTGAATTTGTAGTTGTCACAGTCAGTTCAGTTCCACATTGTAATGCAATTCTTAGGTTTGAAAATTTTGTGGCTGCCAAATTTTGCATTATGTATTCCATTGTGTCTGAAAATATTGAATAGTTTTGATTTATGATTAATGAATTCACCCAAAATATTGAAACTAACAACCAATATATAGCAATTTTTCTGAAAAAAATGGAAAATGTTTTGAATCCAACTGGACAAACAAGTATACAAACGAATGCCAAAGATGCTAAGCAAATTCCGAAAATTAATTGGTTCAACATAACAAATATGGCAAAAAAAAATTATTCAATGAACGAACTAGTGCATCTGAAATGAAATGAAAATTTCTGGCATGCACTTGTCTAGGTACTAGTAATGATTATTAAAAGGATACTAACACTGGAGTGCTAGTATTGAAAGGGAAAGCATCTATATTTGAATATGTGCATTGCCAGAGTTCTACTTTAACCTGCAGCATCTGGGAGATGTACTCTTTTCTCCCTGCACTATGAGTAATAAAACTATTCTTTACTTTTATCTAAAGGTGATTGGTGCCCATTCTTTACCATCCCATAATCAAAGCCAGGACTTCTGCTTTAGAAACTGAATGTCATCTCTCTGCACACCCCTAGATGGCACATTTGCTTCCAGGGATGGGGGGGATGTAGCGGGGCAACATTTGTTTCAACATGTACATTGTATTTTAGTTTCAGACTGTATAAGTGACTGAAATTGATGTTTCCCAAAAGGTATGAAGTGGAAATGTTTCTATACAGAAAATATAAAATAAATTCAGATTGTAAAAAAATGCCCCTCTAACTGTCCCAGCTATAGCACCGCTCCCCTCATTTCTTGGTCTCGCAGAAGACACACAGAGCAGTGGGAGCCATTGGCTCCTGCTGCTCTCACTTGTGAGTGTGACTTACTGGCACTGTGTGTTTCTATGGACACATGCAGTCCTTGCACAGGTGCCCTCTTAGCAAATCTTGTCCTCCATCATTCAGCTGTAAAATCCCAGAATCTCAATGACCAGTAGGCATGCTGACAAATGAAAAATTATTAATTCACCTCTTTCCTGTCTTTCCTCCAGAATGTACATATTAAAGTGTTACTAAACCCACAACAGTAAAATCAGTCTGTATAAGCAATAAAGCATGCTTGTTATAATCACTGTGGAACCTAAGGGGTTAATCCTCTGCATTGTGTAAAAAGGCTGTTTGATTCTATATTCTCTGATCCTCTCCTTCTTCTACTGTCCTCAATCCATCTGCTGATAGAACAGAGCCTTGGGGGCAAGCTGCACATGCTCAGTTTGGTGTGTATTGCTAGAGAGCTTTTTTTTTTTTTGGGAGAGTGCATGTGATCAGCACAGGTCCAATTAGTGCTGTCCAGACAGAGGGTCAAGGATTCTGCAGCTTCCTATGAGAATCAGGGGAGAATGAAAACTCCTCCTACAAGCTTTAACCAGTGCTCTGCTAGACACTGATAGAAGTCACAAGACTGCTCTAACTGCTGATGTGAAAAGGTATTTACCAGTTTATATTTACTAAAATAATTGCAATTCCAAGTTCTGTGTACCGTGGGTCTCTCCTGATATGTTTTATTCCCCAAACCTTTCACCATTGTTGTTGCTCATCTCTGGACTTGATGAATCTTTGCACGTGAGGTCTTCAGAAATGGACACAGTTATCTAAATGGCGTCTAACTAAAAGTCCTAATAGTGTAATCGGGATCTACTTTCCCCTGCTGGTGATCCCTCTAGTGATAATTGGGATTTATATAGGGGAATCAGGACCAGTAGACACCCTGGCATTTAAAAAGTTCAATGTTGGTGGTGAGGCTTGGTGCCAGGATGGGGTTGAGCTTAATCTTGGATGGTATGCATTCAGGTTGTAGGTCTAGGAACTAAGGTCTTCCTCACACACATAAAAACAGGTGCTTGCTGGCCTTCAGAACTGGACAAAGTATTCTAGATGATATTTAACTAAAAATCCTTATAGAGGAATTAGGACCTCCTTTCTCCTGCTGGTGATCCTTCTAGTCTAGCCATACTTCTCTTTTTGCAGTCATCTGAAATAAGCATCCCCAAATTATTTTCCTGTAGCTCTGGCCAACACTGTACCCTCAATATTGTACTCTGTTGACAATTATTTTCCCTAAGTGCATACTTTTACCTTTAGAAACATTTAACTGCATTTTCCACTGTTTTTACCAATCTTCCAGCAATGCCAATTAAGGTTCCATGTTACAAAACACTTCCATTAACCACCTTCCACCCGCCCTATAGTAAAATGACGGGCGCAAGGTGGTTCTCTCGTTCTGATAGGACATCATATGACGTCCTACCATTCTCACTGTGCATGCGTGGCTCAGGGAGTGCGCAGCGCGGTGATCGCCGATGCGCTGTGTCCCTCGGACACAGCGGATCACGGAAAGAGCCGAAGATGTCGGCTTGGTCATGTGATCAGCGGTGTCCAATCACATCTGATCACATGTAAACATGGAAATGCTGGTTATCGGCATTTCTCTCCTCTCGAGCTGTCACGTTGACAGCTCGAGAGGAGAGGAGAGCCGGTAATCGGCTTTCTGCGGAGGGGACATGTACACTGATCATCAGGGCACTGATGATCAGTGTGCCCTGATGATCAGTGTGGCCCCAGAAGTGCCACCTGTCAGTGCTCATCAGTGCCACGTGCCAGTGCCCATCAGTGCCACATGAATGCCACATATCAGTGCATACCAGTGCACATCAATGCCACATATCAGTGCCCATCTGAGCTGCCTTTCAATGTCACCCATCAGTGCCAGTCAGTGCCACCTAGTCAGTGCCACCTATCAATGACAATCAGTGCCACCTATCAGTGCCAGTCAGTGTCGCCTATCAGTGCCAGTCAGTGCCGCCTAACAGTGCCAGTCAGTGCCACCTATCAGTGCCAGTCAGTGCTGCCTATCAGTGCCGCCTATCAGTGCCACCTATCAGTGCCATATATCAGTATCATGTATCAGTGCTGCCTTTCAGTGCCCATCAGTGATGCCTGTCAATGCCCATCAGTGCCACCTACCAATGCCTCATCATCAGTCCACCTATCAGTGTCCATCAATGCAGCCTATCAGTGCCATCACTGCAGCCTCATTAGCGCACATCAGTGAAGGAGAAAAATCACTTATTTACAAAATTGTATAACAAAAACTAATAAAAAACTTTTTTTTCAAAATTTTCAGTGGTTTTTGGTTTGTTTAAGAAAAAATAAAAATCCCAGAGGTGATTAAATACCACCAAAATAAAGCTCTATCTATCTAAAAAAAATAATAAAAATTTCATATGGCTACAGTATTGTATGACCACGCAATTGTCATTCAAAGTGTGACAGCGCTGAAAGCTGGAAATTGGCCTGGACAGGAAGGGGGTATAAGTGCCCTGTAGGCTAGTGGTTAATATCAACCCCACACAGCTGCACAGCTTTGTATCATCAATAAAATGACATATTTTGTCCACCAAACCCTAAGTTTTATTCCTTACCAATAAATTAAATAATACAGAACCAAGTACAGAGACATATGGTATGTTACATGTGCTTGGTCTCTATTCCAGTTGTATCCATTTGTAACCACGCTCATATATCTATCCAAAAGCTTGTACAACATTTTTATGAGGTCATTATGTGAAACCATATCAAATTCTGTGCTGAAATCAAGGTAGGCTATGTCCACAACACCACCCTGATTCAAAATATTTGTGATATAGAAACATTTCAGTCAGATAAGTCTGACATGATCTGTCCTCAGAAAAGCCATATTGCTTTAGGTCTATTAACTTCTTGCGACCGCGCATAGCCGAATGAAACGGATCACCGCGGCCGGCTTTCTGAGTGGATCATATGATGTCCTCCCAGAACGCGCTCTTTGCGCGCTACATAATTACCCGGCGATCTCCGTGATCGCTGTGCTCCTAGCTGCACAGCTTCTCCTTACGTACCTGTGGTGTGCAAGAGGCCGATCCCACCGGCCTTTTCCACCAGTGAACTTCAGCGGTGTCCAATGACAAGCTGATTACAGGGAAATGCAAGTGCCGGTCCGGCTGCACTTTCCTCAAAGCTGTCAGATCGTGAGGAGAAGTACTCTGCCGAGAACCGGCATTGTTTCAGAGCGGGGACGGCACCGGGTCATCAGGGCACTAATTCAGGCCCCCCCCATGATCGGTGCCCAGCAGTGAAATGATCAAGTGTCCGCCCAGCAGTGCGTTCCACAAGCCCCGCCCACTCCCACCGTTCCCAGCAGTTCCAGCCCACCTGTGCCCAGCAGTGCCCCCACCTGTGCCCAGCAGTGCACCCACCTGATGCCACTCTGCAGTGCCACCTACTGTGCCCAGAAGTGCCACCTACATGTGCCCAGCAGTGCCACCCACCATCCTGCCCACCCACCTGTGCCACCAGTGCCACCTACCTGTGCCCACCAGTGCCACCCACCTGTGCCCACCCACCAGTGCTGCCCACCAAGTGCCACCCACCAGTGCAGCCCAGCAGTGCTGCCAGTCAGTGCCACAGTCAGTGCCCAGGGGTTGTGCCAGTCAGTGCCGCCATCAGTGCCCAGAAGTGATGCCAGTCAGTGCCGTCTATCAGTACCCATCATCAGTGTCACCTATCATTGCCGCCTATCAGTGCTGCATATCAGTGCCGCCTATCCGTGACCCCTAAATAGTGCTGTCTATCAGTGCCGCCTATCCGTTGCCACCTCATTAGTACTGCCTATCAGTGCCCTTTAGTGCTGCCTATCAGTGCCCATCAGTGCCGCCTATCAGTGCCCATCAGTGCCGCCTCATCAACGCAAATCAGTGAAGGAGAAAAAATACCTGTTTGAAAGATTTTATAAAAGAAACAAATAAACTTTTTTTTTTTTTTTGAAATTTTTTGCATCCTTTTTTTAAACATTTATAGCGCAAAAAGTAAAGCCGCCACATGGAGATTAAATACCACCAAAAGAAAGCTCCTATTTGTGAGAAAAAAATGATCAAAATTTCATATGGGTACAATGTTGCATGACCGCGCATCTTGTCAATCAAACCTGCGGCGCAGCGCTGAAAGCTGAAAATTGGCCTGGTAAGGAAGGGGGTATAAGTGCCTGGTAGGCAAACCTGGTTAAGTTGTGTTTTTTAAATGATCAATGATCCTTCTTTTTAGGATTGATTCCATTACTTTTACCACTACATAATTACTACTGAATTCACAGGGCTGTAGCTGCCAGCTTCTTCCTTACTACCTTACTTGTGCACAGATACAATAATAACTGTCCTCCAGTAATGGGGAACTTCTCCTGGTAAAAAAAAGATTAATTAAAACAACAGCTAATGGTCCAGCTACTAAACATAAAAGTTCTCTAAGAACTCTGCCATCTTGACACATTGCTTTATTAGACTTTGAGGGTAAACTCAGAGTAAATTCCAAAGGATCCCCCCCCCCCACACCCCCCCCCCATACCACAAAGGTAAATGATCATTGTGTCTATAAAGCAGTTCTAAAATTTTTCTCCCTTACTCCCACATTCTTTTTTCCAGCCACACGTCCGGTTCCCTGAAGCCTTTAGAAATAGTAGAGATGGATAATCAAACACCATAGATGAATAAAATTTCAGCTTCTTTATTGGATTGATTAAACATGTTAAATAACTAACAACTATCCTGAAGCCACTTCTCTTTGCCACTATTCTCACTTCTATTGGGCATAGGTCATACAATGCAGAATGGCTGGTAAGGACACCAAGGACCCACCTACAACCTGGAGCATCAGAGTGAAGAGAAGAACATAGGTGTTCAATATAATTTTGGTGTGATAATATACAGGGATGTGGTGCCATTTATTTCTCTTCTGTTCTGTATATGCAATATTGCAGAAAAAATATGGGATATCATGAAGGGAAACCCAGGCCCAACGGTCGTAAAGGTGGTGGGGTTGGTCTGCTCCTGTCACCGCAGAGCACCTTCCGAGTCCTCCCAAACCCCCCTCTCTATCCTTCTCCTCCTTCGAGGCCCACTGCGTCCAACTATTCTCCCCAACCCCCTGAAGATTGCTGTGATATACCGGCCTCCTGGATCCATATCCCGCTTCCTGGATGACTTTTCCTCCTGGCTACCCTTCTTCCTCTCTTCTGAGCTACCCACCATCATCCTTGGGGATTTCAACATCCCTGTCAACCTCAACAACCCGGACACATCCCATCTCCTCCACTTAACCTCCTCCTTTGCACTTGCACAGTGCATACAATCCACCACCCACTCCAACGGTAATATCCTTGATCTTGTCTTCTCCAACCGCTGCGCTCCCCACAACCTCACTAACACCCCCTTCCCTCTCTCTGACCACAACCTGATTACCTTCTCTATCTCCTTGTCCTCCAACGCCTACCCCTCCAAATGTCACACTACTACCAGCCGTAACCTCCGCAACCTTAACCCTGCCCCCCTCCACTCTACAGCTGATCAACTCCACGACAGCATCCTCCCCCTGTCCTGCCCCGACTTGGCTATGACTGCATACAACAACGCGCTGTCAACAGCCCTTGACTCACTAGCGCCTTTAACCACACGCAACATCAGACCCCGATCGCTCCAGCCCTGGCAGACTGATCACACCAAAACCCTCAAACGACACAGTCGTGCCCTGGAGCGACTATGGCGCAAAACCAAATCCCAACAAGCCTTCACCCGCTACAAATTTGCCTTCCACACCTACACCTCCTCCCTCCACGCAGCCAAACAAGCCTACCTCCTGACCCTCATCAAGGCCCTCTCCTCCAATCCTCGCCGACTCTTCTCCACCTTCAACTCTCTCTACTCTCGCCACCCCCACCTCCACCCAGCACCTCACTCACTGCCCTTGAGATTGCCAATCATTTCAAAAACAAGATTGACACAATTCGCAAGGACATCGCCGCAACTCACACGCCCTCTCAACCCGTCCCCTCTCACACAGCTACCCCCTCATCCCCCTCCCCCTCGACATAACCCACAGGGACTTCGTCGCTGCTCAAACTCCCTCCAACCCCGTTCCCCCTCACTCAGCTACCCCCTCATCACCCCTCTCCCATGGCCCCACCACTGCTCTGACCTCCACTTCCACCCCACCCTACATTCCTCATACTGAAGCTCCCCCAACACTCCACATCTTTGACCTTACTACCATCGATGAAGTCTCCAAGATCCTCTCTGATGCCCGCCTCACCACCTGCCCCCTCGACCCTATCCCCTCACAATTCCTACGACCTCCCTCCCCCTCCATCCTACACTCCCTCACCCACATCTTCAATCTCTCCCTCTCCTCCGGCTCTTTCCCCTCCCCTCTGAAACATGCACACATCACCCCCATACTTAAAAAGCCCTCCGTGGACCCCAGTGACCCGAACAACCTCAGACCTATCTCCCTGCTCCCATTTACATCCAAACTCCTCGAGTGCCTAGTCTATGCTCTCACCTCAACGACAACAACCTCCTCGACCCCCTACAGTCCGGCTTCCGTCCCCTACACTCCACCAAAACTGCCTTACTCAAACTCTCCAACGACCTGCTAACCGCCAAAGCTAATGGCCACTATTCAGTGCTCCTACTCCTTGACCTCTCTGCGACCTTCGACACAGTCGACCACCCCCTCCTCCTCAAAAAACTACACTCCCTCGGCCTCAGAGATTCTGCTCTCTCCTGGCTCTCATCCTACCTGTCACAACGCTCTTTCAGCGTTACCTATAATGCTACCACCTCCCCCTCACTCCCCCTCTCTGTTGGGGTCCCTCAAGGCTCTGTCCTCGGGCCCCTTCTCTTCTCCATCTACACCTCCTCCCTTGGCCAACTCATACACTCTCACGGCTTCAACTACCACCTCTATGCCGACGACACACAAATCTATCTC